GAGTAGAAAACTCTTGTCATTTTTTGGGAACAATTTTATTGGAGCAAACAGTAATGACAATAACAACAGCAACAACAACAACAGCAATACAAACAACAACAGCAATACAAACAACAACAGCAATACAAACAACAACAACAACAACCACAACAACAACAATACAAACAACAACAACAACAATAATAAAAATAATAATAATAACAAAGGTTTCGTTGTTAATGATGATAAAGCGAGAAAACGAAATGATGATGAAGAAGATGACGACGAGGATGACAAAAAAATTGTCAATAAAATCACTCGTGACGGTTGTGATGATTTTAAAAATGCTGACGACGACGACGACGCTTGTAGTGGCTGTGATGGTAGTGACATTGGCTGCTGTAATAAGGATGATAATGGCGAGAAGAAGCTACTGAAGCAACGACAACGACCACATCAACAAAATCATACCCAACCGCTACATTTTGAACAACAACAGCAACAACAACATCATCATCAGTATTTTTTGCAGCAGATTCTTAAAAGACAACAACAACAACAACAACAACAACAAAATTCAACATTGGATGACGGCAAATTACGTCAACATTACAACAACATTGAAAGCAACAACAACAACAGCAATACATACAACAACGAAGAAAACGCCAAAACCGATTCTTCCTACTCTCGGTATTATTCGCTAAGAAACTTTGCAGAGTTCGGTAAATTGTTTCAACCGACTTTCGATCGATTCACCACAAACAGTAACAACATCTTTCACACTAAAAACTACAACATCAACAACAACAACATCAGTAACCACAACATCAACAACAACATCAGTAACCACAACAACAGTAACCACAACAACAACATCAGTAATCACAACAACAACAACAACATCAGTAATCACAATTCTAACAAGTCGGAACCGAAATTATTCAATTCAAGTTTAGTTTCACCCCCAAAACCGTCAAAACAACACACTCTATTTTGGCCATATTTGAATGTGGAAAATCCCAAAATTGACGAATTCGCTAAAAATACTCTGGAAACCCAAAAAAATTCTAAAAATAAAATCGAAACCGGAAAACTATTCAGCGTCGGAAAACCCCAAAACATGGGCGATGATTGTAGCGACAAAAAATTAGATGAAAGTTATGATGATGATGATGACCAAGACGACGATGATGATGATAATGATCGTGATTATGATGGGGATAAAAGTGCTGAAATGAACATGTTGCTGGAGCACGACGAGAAAGTTGGCGATGAATCTATGGCTGCTGATGAGGTTATTTTTTGGGTTTATTTTAAATTTAAGAACAATAACAACTACTACAACTACATAACATTATCCTGATTGGTCAATTGGTTGGTTGGTTGATTATCAATCATTCATTGAATCATTCAATCATTCATTCATTCATTCATTCATTCAATCATTCAATCAATCACCAACAACAACATCAAAAACAGGATTCAGGCCATAACCAACAGCAACAACATCAACAGCTGACACCAACACAACAACAGCAGCAGCAACAACAACAACTGCAACAACATCATCGTCGTCGTAGGACCGCTTTCACGAGCGAGCAACTTTTAGAATTGGAGAAGGAGTTCCACAGTAAAAAGTACCTTTCTCTTTCTGAAAGGTCTCACATTGCACATCAGCTCAAACTCAGCGAGGTTCAGGTAATCCGGAGTTGAAATTGACAAATATTTTCACTTCACAAAGTTTTTGTAAATTTAGAAATCGCTGAGTAGAACAAAAAAAAGTTTATAACATCACAAATCTTAAAAACATACATCAATTTTGCTAAAATTGATAAATAGCAGTCTGTAGTAATTTCATCAGTAGAAGTAGTAGTAGTAACTTCTACAGCAACAACCGCAGAAGCTGAAGTAGTAGTAGCAGCAGCAGCAGTAGTAGTAATAGTAGTAGCAGTATTAGTAGCAACAAGAGTTATTGTGATTGCTTTGTTGTAATAATTGCATTGTCCGTAATTTGTTTAGTGATTAGAATTAGTAAGTTGTAGATATTATTATTGAAAATAAATTTTCGCAAAAATTTCGATCGAACCAGGTAAAAATTTGGTTTCAAAATCGTAGAGCCAAATGGAAAAGAGTGAAAGCCTGTAGTGTTGTTGGCTGCCGGCCGCCCAACCCTACTTCCGCTTTAAACGATAACAACACGGATTCAAACTCTCCGGAAATTGGGAATTCCCCACGGAAAAACCAGGAGAAAACAAAAATAGTGGTCCCAATTCCGATACATGTAAATAGACTGGCTGTGAACAGAGGGCAACAACAACAACAGCATCCACCGCAGCAACAACAACAACATCTTTTTCAGCAACAACCGCAAATACAACATCAACAAATCGTTCATAATTTTCCAAACAGTTTGCAGACTTCGACAACATCGCACCACCATCACCAACAACATCTGCAACATCAACAACAACATCTGCAACATCAACAACAACATCTGCAACATCAACAACAACATCTG